CGTGTGTTCTAGGCTGATGTCTGAATTGATTTTAGAATATTATTGCAGATCTATGCTTCTTCAGCCAAGGAAGTTTTTGGGTTTATTCATGGTGGCGTGTAAGGTCAATCCACTGGCCTAATTTGGAGCAGTCTATGGTGTAAATGATTGTCATAATTGTTTTTCATGAAGGAGAATCAGCTTGTGCCAGAAGTGTGCAGAAAAATGATGTCAGAACAAATGTCCTACCTAGTGTGAGAAGGTAGTATCATCTGAATAATGATAAATACTTTGACGGGAGCTAAGTATTTGTCTATCCTTTGATGGGGTGTGCATGGGATTGATGGTAAATACTTTGACGGGAGCTGAGTATTTTGTCTGAGGTGTTATGCAAGTCTGCAGTCTGAACAATATGATTCAGAAAGGTTGTTGAGAATTTATTTTTCTCTATGTAGCTATGTTGAGTAGCTTGAGTTAGGAAGCTGCTAACTACTGAGAGTTTATCTTTCTTCGTGGTTCTCTGGTGTGTGAAAACCTGAATTAGCTGTTGAAGGTGTGTCCTTTGGATATTTTATAGTGTCAAGGACTTCTATTCAAAAAACAAGTTCTATGAATGGTGTTTTAAGAACCAGAGTGATTAGGGTATATGATGAGAAGCTGATATATGTTGTTGTAACAACATGCTTGCTTATGATTGTCATTGGTAGAAGCTTGGAATTATGAACGTATAATTTTACATTATATTTAGAAGTGGCAATTCTAACTATGATGAAGAAGGATGTGAAGCTTCTGACCTTGTCTTATAGGGTGTGTGGTGAATGTATGACTTATGTCATGATTGGAGATAGTGATTGAACCAGGAATTTCTAAGAGTATAAGAAGAGTGTCAGGTAGGGTGATCTGATCAAAATGCCTGTTGAGGTGGTGGTTCTTCTACTACAAGTAAAAGATTATGGCAATCTGAAACGTGTGTAGCAAGCAAGCTAAGAGCATTTATTCTGGAATATGTGAGAAATTCCAAATCAAGTGTGTCTTGTATGGATCTGTTGTGTTTTCACAAGGGTGTGAATATATTCAGCAGAGGTGTGAAGTTGTGGTCCTTCATTATGAGCATGTGAGAATCTTCATGTGCTTTTTTGGTGCTGAAGTGGTTATAATCAGAAGGAGCGCTGCTTATCCATGACAGGGGGAGTTAATACTTGTCTATGGAGTACTGCTGCAATAATAGAGATTTTTGGAGCTTGTAAAGGTTGTGATGTTAGACAACATTTTATGACATTGGGCGGTTGAATATTGTTGTTGATATGATTATCTAGCTATGTGAAGCTAGTTGGTTGAAACATGTGATTACATGATTTCTAGGAGGAGTCTGAAGGGCAGGCTTGATTATGACTGGGATAATTTATTTTTCTCTGCATATTTTGGAAGGACTCTTTGAAGGTCATTGTTGATTGGTAATGTCACACTTGTCTTGGTGTGTTACTATTTCTAGCTAAAAGAAGTAATCTTAGAGACTAGTGGAAGGCTGTATGATTGTGCTTCAGAACATGTGGATAATTCTATGAAGTATCCCCAACTGGTGATTGAAGATGTGTGGCCAAGTTTTTAAGAAGACAATGTCTGAATGGATGTCAGGATATTATTCAGGACATGTTTTCTGTAAGACTAACAAGGAAGTATTATGGACAGTTTTATCAAACACGTGTCTGAAGGGTGTGTTGAAAGTGTGTTTGACTGTGCATGTGCATGTATTCAAACTATCATTTCCAAAAGAACTGGTCCTGATTCAATAAAGGCATTCAAAGTTGTTTTGATCGGTGCACATTGATTTTGGTGGAAATTTTTTACTCAAATAACATTTCCTTTTGACCAAGATCACTGATACGTTTAAGGATTATTATTTCCTAAGTAAATGCTCATCTATTTATAGAGGTTACTCCTTTCCTCTTTCACCGTGGGAGTGTTTGGTGTATCCATAACCTTTATGGGTTTTTTTCGGGTGTGGATAAGTTGTGCTTGAGTATGGTTTTGTGAAGGCCTTCCTTGCTAATTTTTGGCTAAAAGGGGGGATAAAGGTAAAGGTCTTGTTCAGATGTTGATGCCATAGAAATCTGCTTTTACAGATGTTATACACAAATGTCGGATAAGATATTCGATCTTATTTTTGTGTTTTGTTTTATGACTTGTGATCTGAGTTATGAACATAATTGTGACTTGTGTACTAAGTTACCCAAGATGGTGGGAGGTTGGTGGTTGGTTGCTGATTAAGCATTTTCTTATGCCGCCATTGGTCTTTTAAGTTCCTGGGTTGAGGGGGAGTGTTACCTATCTTCTTCCTCATGTACATCAAATGACTTCAGAACTTTCTACTTTCTACTCCTTTTATTCTGAGGTTGTTGTTCTTTTGTGTTGAGTTTTGTGTTGCAATGGAGCTGTTATGAAGAAGATGGCAAACATAATGTCCTAACATCATTGTGCCTGTGAAGAGATGTCCCTCCATGTTGCTATGTTATTGTGTTCAGTAGTTTCTGAAGACTACTGCTGATGGGTGTAATTTTTTTGTTGTTGTTGTAATCTGGATTCTAATTTATGTTATTTGTTTTAGCCAAAATTTGTCAAATGGGAGAGATTGTTAGTTCTCTATTTTTAGGATTGGTATTAATTTTAGTAAAACAAATATAGCAGCAATATGTTAAATAGGATGTGATTACTCGCTAAGATAAACAGGTTGAGCAAGAAGTCCTATTTTATGTTGAGATATGTTGAGATGAAAAGTTCTTATCTTCTAGAGCAACATGTCGGATAAGATGTCCTATGCAGGGTCATACGACATCACGTCTGGGCTGGGCTGAACAATTAGATTATGTTATGATTTAATAGATGCAAAATATTTTGGAAATATTATGCTATCCTATGTGGCATTGTTTTATAGGTCTGGAAGATTCAAGTCAGAATCAAGAAGAATATTGAAGAAAATTGACTTTCTAATTATGGAGATAAATTAGGAAAGATTTACTTGAAGAACTATTTTGTAGTAGAAGTTTCTGCTTATTTGTAGTAGCTGATATGTTGTGATTTGAAACCCAAATCCAATTGGGAAAAATATTATAAATAGAAACATTGTAACCTAAAAGAAGATACCAACGGTGAATGAAAATATGTAGTTATTAAGGATGAGTCTGTACCACTCTCTAGGAGAGTTGGTTGTGTGGTCCACTCAACTTATGAGTTGGAATATGTTCCAAGAGTTGTAAGGTTTTGTTCTCCTCGGAGCTGTGAAGTAAGAGTGGGTATTGTTTTTGGGGGAAGCTTTTAAGCAACTATAACTGTTGTTCTTAGTCAAGAGTCTTTGCTTGGTATTGTCATGGAAGTGTGTCTTATAGTTTGTCATCATAGAAGTGTGTCTTCCTGTTTTGTCCAATTGATGTCTATGATTGATGAGGGCTTGAGGAGGGCGTCATATATAGGCGAGTCTTAGATAAAAAGTTAGCATGGGTAATAATTAAGTGAGAAGTTGTAAACGGGAGAGTTTAGCTTCGAATTGATATTATTATAGTGGATTTTATCCATGGCTTGGTATGCCCCCAGAGTAGGAGAGTTGCTCTGAACTGGATTAATAATTCGAGTGTGTTGTTTACTTTTCAGTACTTTTTTTTATTATTTATACCTTGTCTATGTGTTTTGTTCAGATCATATGTCCCAACATGTCATAGGACATCTGAAGTTTGATATACCAGAATTTAATGATAGATTGGCTCGCACAAATATTTTATAAATCATGACATGTGGTTGACTATTTTACCACAATGTGCTTGAGAAATTTATTTTAGAGATAATTTTGGTCTAGCTAATTAGTATTTTTGTTAGTTTTAATGGGTTAGGTACATGCCCCACATCCTTTTTTTTTTCTCTTTTTTTTTCATTTCTCAATAAAGATCTTTATATAAAAAAATTAATATTATAAAAAGTTATAAAAACTAATTTTTTACTTTATGATAACCGCGCCAAGTCTAGTATGTAACTATGTGGTGGTCGGCAGATCTCTGACGAGTGGTTCAGTTGAGTCAGTTCCAACAAACGATTTAGTTATGTCTGGTATAAAATGTGGTTCAACAAGTTTTCTTGTATTGTACTTAGTTTTTTCAATTTGTGGATCAGTAATGGATTATATTTTAGGTTAATTATCTGTTGAATTTCTGCAATTATAAATATGCATCTCCCTCAATCTTGTCTTTACAATCTTATTCTCTATTTTATAGTGCTATTCACTGTCATCTTTGGTATCAAAGTGAATTATGTGACTATGATTTTCAAATACCGTACGGACATAAGTCCAAATTATTCAATGTTTCCGGTCCAACATCAACAATATGCACCAATGACGATATTAATGATACCAATGACCAACAAAGCCTCCTTTGAGGTTGCTGTTCTGATTTTCCCCTGGTTTTTGAAGATAGAATGTAGGTCTTACCGCATTAGAGTGCAGATCTTCATCAGATCTTTAAAGATCTGGTATCAAACGATGGAAAATAGAGAAATAAGGAAGGGGATGAAGGGCTGTGGTGGTGGAAGTTTGAGAAGAGAGAAAGAGAGAAAGAAAGAGAGAAGAGAGAAAGAGATAGAAAAGAGAGAAGCCAAGTAAGAAAATAAAATTTCATCAACATTGTCACTAGTCAAACTTAACATTTATTTTTCAAAGCAAAACAATAAATTAAGTCAAGATGCATTAAGCCATAATTCTATAAATAGTACAATTCTCTATTTTATAGTATCAAAGTGGGTTATGTGACTATGATTTTCAAAGCTAAAAAATGTATAGTCAAGCTTACGACGCCCACTATGAATACAATAGTTATCAAAGAAGTACTCTATGACTCTTGGAAAACAAAATCAATAGTCCACCATAATATCAAACGTGCACTTTTCAGGGTCTGACCTTTGGAATGTGAGATCCTTACATGAGGGAGGAAAATGACAGATGGAGATCTAACTCTTAACTGTTAAGGAAAATAAATGACTTAAATGTCTGAGTGCAACCGTACAAAACGTAATGAACTGAAGGGAGTACTTAAGCGCCATTGTCTTTGTTTTTTATTCAGTGGTCTTCCTTTCCCTTTCCCTGCTTTCTCTCTGTTGACTCTCACGTCCGCTAAACTCCAAGTGCAATATTTTGTTTCCATGTCAAAGGATTCAAGCTTGAAGACACCGTAGCCTTCTGCAGATGGATTATTTGAGTCATCTTCAATGGCATATTTCACATACATAGGTCTCTCCTTGAATCGGTCTAGGTCATCTGGAATCCGAACTATTCTTGTAACATCTGGTGAAGACACCTGAAGGAATGCATCTGAAGATATAAAAGCTATTTTAAACAATATTGAGTAACATGACAAATCATGATTTTAATCCTTCAGCACTATCATCTTTCAAAATCAAGAGGGATAACACTATCAATAACCTTGGATCCTGACAACAGATGGTTCATTTGCTCTAAAATTTAAAAACATTACTAACAGCTTCATGTAGAATGTGAATAAGCCACAAACTATATCTCTACCTACAATATATGACAATGCAGTAAGATATTTGAGATGATACCTCCAAACCTATATTCTCGGGAACGAGTTTGTAACATCCTGCTTCATCCAATTTTGCTTTGTAAGTTCTAGAAAAGACTACGGTATCTTCCAGGGTGGGGAAGCCGGATCTATGCGCATGGAAATTCATAAATTAAGCATACATCCAAAGTATATGATAGCAAGTTCAGTTCAGCGACAGTTTATGCAAAATAAAATGATTGCATTAGAGGAACACAATAATGCAGATTATTGATCCTTGATGAGTGCCTCTGTTGTTACTTGCAAGAAATTCGTTATTGAGCAGTGCATGAAAGCATTTACTGTTTTTATCAATAAGGTAAAAATTCCCTTTGAAGGTTTGCACTAATAATCTGTGATAAATCATTGAGCATTAGGGGAACGCAAGAAAAGGTTTGCCACCAATCCAATGCAGCATTTCAGAACCTGTTATATGATTTTAACAGTGTCACGTAGCACCGACCCCCTACAATGCTATTGTAGCATATAGCGAGATAGCCGCTATTGTAAAGACTAGAAATCAATGTGCAGAGTAAAAATAAATGCTCAAAAATAGGAAGTCTCAGAATTTGAGTTGGACCTAGGGTTTGGAAAAAGGCTTAGAGGAATTTTGCCCCAAAAAATCCTAAAAGCAGTTGTGATAGCTGTTTGGGGCCACAATAGTGGTCGCTACACCCAATATTGTTCACGGTCACTCGTGGGCCAAAAGCATTGCACCGAACCCTTCTACCACTATGCTATTCCACTATACATGTTTCATAGCATTTCATAAAGTCACAAACTGAGAAAGTAAGGTTGTCCATGGCCGAGAACCAAAATCCCATTTTGTGGATTGTGCCAAAAATAAACCTGCAATATCAGCTGATATTTACTATTGCAGCGAGCCCAAAAACCGCCATGTATATCCGCTATAGTGATGCCATGGAGGATATTTGATAACACTGGTTCGTTTCTCTCTTAATCCGACCCAATCAGTTCAATTTGATTAGAAAACATTACTACTACCTATCTTTAATCAACTAATTCATACAATAGAACTGCATCTATCTCTAAAACATTATAACAACATTGATGATCAATCCTTACTTGTTGGAAAGCTTATCTATTTGCACTCGAACTGTGGAATTGACTAAAGTTTTGAAAGCATAGATTTGGAAGTCACCACCAAAAGACATAGTAACCTCTTTAGCAAGTGCTAATGCCTTTTTATCCCACCATGTTCCGGCGAGGGAAATTCCACCGCCTGGACCACCATCACCAGCCTTCAAAAACCACAAAAAATTCAAGTCACATTCTTTAACAAAATTAAACTTTTCCATTCAACCACACAGTAATTAGGTTTTCAACAAAACTTACATAGGGTAGTACACGAAAATCATCCATGTCCTCATCAATTTCTGGGTCTGTGTAAATAACAACTTCAATTGAAAGTTTAAGGTGAAAAATAATTGAGAGATTCACAGTAGTTATAGTTACCGTATTCAAATCCATAATCGTCTTCTTCGTCTGATGATACTTCTTGTACAATGGTGGATTCTAGAACGGGCTCTGAATCAAAGTTTTTCTTCTTTCCATGAGGAGTAACAAGGGGCTTTATTGGAGTGTATGGAGAGGTAGAAAACCGAGAAGAAGAAGAAGAAGAAGAAGAAGAAGGGGCACAGAAAGAACTCCTACTCCTAGACCTAGTAATGGTGATAAGTGGTGACAATGGAAATCGCCATGGTTGCAACAGACTTGAAGCTTTAATCAAATCCATTCAGTTTTTTTTTTTTTTAATTTGTGAAAGGACAAGCCCGTGTCGGATATGAAAAACATGAGTTTTTGTCGAGCCATTTTTTTATGTTATGCTTACACTTTTACGGTTTTACCAAATTGTTCTAAATAAATAAAATTTAAATTTTTCAAGTTTCATAACATGAATTAACTTTTAAAAGTGTTAGTAGTAAGAATAAGATTTGGTTTTGTATCTGATCTTTAGTTTTGTTGACAATAATATATTATTTGTTAGAGAATAATTTTGTACTCTTATAATTTTGTCTAGTGTATAATTTTTGCTAACATGTTCTGACTCTGATAAAATAATGTGTGACGTCATCAGTTTCTGGAATTATCACATTTTAACTCTGGAAAGATACAAAGTATGTGTTACAAGACATTGTCAAGTTCTGGAATGCTTCTAAACAACGATTGTGATGAACGTTACTCTAGAGCTTCTGACTGTGACTTTGATGAAAGAGCTTCTGAGGACTTCTCAAGCTCTAGAGACTCTGAAGATAAGTGTTCTGGACTGGGCCTGCCCACGGCCCAATTACCAGCAAGGCCCAGTCCAAGCTTTACAACATACCATGCTGAGTATTAGAATCCTCGACACGCCTCGATCATGAGCGTCGTCGAACACAATTGTGCCAGTCGCTGACTGTGACGCTTTTCCCCGACAAGGGACACCCCAGGCGAGGAACGCCTCAATCCAGGACTTGCTCGGACACACTCCTCGTAGGGCAGACTCGACCTCTCTGAATATCTCAGAGCCCTCAGGATCCCGAGAAGACTGCGTCTTCACCTCCCTATTTCTGCGGAGAGCATCATCCAGGTAGGGGACCACGTGCAGGTCCCCACTACTCCACGTGGAACCTGGCAGTCCCTTTGTTGAGCTTGTTTGGTTAGCCCAATGAAGGGACCTTGGCCCAGCGCTGGGGGCTATAAATACTCTTTGTTTCAAGAGGGTCAGGGATTCATCTCATTCACACCTATATACAATTCGCCTGCTCATTCCGTCTCTCACTTTATCATCGGAGTGTCTTGCAGGTATCCCCCCCCCACCTCCTTCAAATTCAGTTCGAGCCAGCTGTGACGGTCCAACTCTGATCAGGTACGATCAGTGGCGCCGTCTGTGGGAAACTAAGCTTCCCCATCTTACAAACTCGCGAAGACCAAAGCTAAAACCATCCTCGACCGCCATGGCTGACCAGATTCAGGACAACCAGAACGTCTGCGTCGTTGAAGCTAACAACAACCTCGCCGACAAAAATGGTGGCCCCGACAACACCGGCAACGCCGACCATAATATACTCCCCGGGGCGCCATCCCCAGGCCCTCTAACTACCGGGACGGAGCCACGGCTTCATCTTCCTCAGTCCCTCCTCGGCTCGAAGAAGATGATCCAGTTCCCCCCAACTATCTAGCCGCCCAATTCCATGAGGTTCCTGTCCCCGCCGGGGCAGACGCCACGACCAGGGCACTGTTCACGGCAATCAACCAGACCAACTACCTCATCTTTTCCCAAGGGGGAAAGATTGAGAGTGCTAGAGGACGACAGAAGGCCCTCGAGGAGACATAGGAGGCCTCAATCCCCACCTCCTCGAAGAATGGAGGAACGTCCCCGATCTCCCCCGTAGAGACAAGACCGGGACACCTCTCGAAGCCCGTCGCCCCGACAACCCGGGCGGCGACCCGCCTTGAAGAGAGAACCACTCATTGAGACCGGAAGGCGCGACCTTGGACCTTCACGGCAAGAACTAAGACCTCTCAGAGACAGACACAGAGGAACCTATCAACGGACACATCGCTCGAGGAACGTCCAGCACGACCAGAGCCATCGTGACCGACAATACATCAGGTCCCCGTCCCGCTCCCCAGAACAAAGTGACGAGGACGACCCCCGCGGTCCCCTATCACAAGCTATCATGGAGGCGCCCATTCCCCCGGGCATGGAGAAGCCTCCACACCTGAAAGAATATGACGGAGTCGCCGACCTAGTCGATCACATAGACGAGTTCGAGGCAATGATGCACTACCACAACGTCGGGGGACCAATTAAATGTCAGTTGTTCCCCACGACTCTGAGGAAAGTAGCTATGGACTGGTACAAGGGTATCGCCCCGGGGTCAATTACCTCGTGGCGAAACTTGAAGAACCAATTCATTAGCTCATTCACTGCGTCTCGGCGACATCCGAAGACCGAAGCGGAGCTCGAGGCCATCGTCCAGAGACAGGATGAGACCTTGAGAGAGTTCATCAACCGCTTCAATTGGGAAGCCATCCAGGTCCCTTGCATGGACCATATGAAGAGATACCTGCTGGAGAGGGGCCTTCTCCCCGGCACAGAATTCAGGAAGGTTGTGGGCATCGAACCACCCTGAACGTTTGATGCTCTCCTCGAGAAGGCCAGGGTCTACATGGACTACAAGGAGAGGGAAGCGGCCAACAGAGCTCGAGACCCCAGGAATCGCGGATCCAGCAGCAACCCGCACCAATCCAGCAGCAACCCGCGCCAAGAGCCCGTCCCTCCTCGACGAGCCGGGGAAAAAAGAAAAGACGACAAACCCCGAGACATCCGAGAACAGATGGGGCCTTCGGGGCATTTCACAGAGTACACTCCGCTCACGGCTTCCCGCGAGCGAATCTTAGCGGAGTGTGCAAGTACGTACTTCAAAGATGGCAGCGTCAAGCATCCCCGACCAACTCCTTCCAAACCCGGGGTGGACATGAGCAAATATTGTCAGTACCACAGGAGCCATGGCCATCTGACTGAAGACTGCGTCCACCTCAAGGACGCTATCGAGACCCTCATAAAAGGGGGGAGACTCGCCCAGTACCGGTGAAATGACGCTCCTCGTCGCGACGCCCGCGAGACAAGAGAAGTGGAAGAGGATGCTCGACCATCTGACGAGTCAGTCCCCATCCAAACAGCCTTCTCCGTCACAAGACCCGAGGACTTCTACATCCCCGACTACATGCAAGAACCGTTGTCGACGCACAGCAGGTGGGAGAACTTTCCCTCCGCCATGGTCATCAATGGTGGAGGTTTCAATGACCTGACCATAAATTCGGCCAAGACGAAGTTGGACGAGTTGGTCGACACGACCCCCCCCTCAAACGGTGACTTTTGAAAAGGTGAAGGGTAGGTCAGAACCTATCACCTTTTATCTCGAAGAGCTCCCCGGAGGGCCCCCCAATTCGGTCATTCCTCTACTGATAAGAGCGAGGATGGCCAACTTTGACATACACTGCGTCCTCGTCGATGAAGGAAGTTCCGTCGATGTAATGTACAGCCAACTGTTCCGAACCCTGCAGCTCGACGACTCTCACCTCTCACCTTACGTGGGGTCAGGCCTGCAGAGCTTTAACGGCTCAACTTCCAAGCCTTGGGGATACGTCGAGCTCATGGTCATGTTCGGCGAGGATACGGCAACGAGGCAAGTCAAGGTGCGCTTCCTCGTCATTGATTGCCCGTCCCTCTACAACTGTATTCTGGGAAGGCCGACATTGGCGGAGCTGGCCGCAGTACCCTCTACCGTTCATCTGAAAATGAAGTTTTATACCAAGAGGGCACGGGTCGCCACCATCCAAGGGGACCTAGGAGCTGCCCGAAGGTGTTTTAACGCGGCTTCCAAGGGACGTGATACGGTGGACACCAGCACAAGGCCCGCCAAGAGAGTTGCGACGACACGACCAGAGCCTCAGAGGATAGAGCCCGTCAAGGCAGAAGAGCAGAGAACCCCTCCAGAGGTCTAATCAATATCCTTGGATACTTGCTTCGACCAGGATGAACCTCCCAGCGGCGAGAAAATCCCCCTTCGACCGATTCTGGACGGGGACTTCGAACTCGTCCCCCTCGGAGAGGACCCAAGCAGAGGAGTGAAGATCGGCATCGGACTCCTCGACTTAGCAAGGAAGAAAATAAAAGCTTGTTTGCGCGAGAACACGGACCTATTCACGTGGAGCGCTGCGAAAATGCCCGGACTCGACCCCGAGGTCGCCTGTCACCATCTCGCCATAGACCCCGCCGTTAGGGCAGTAGTACAATGTAGACGTAGGCAGTCTCCGGAGAAAATGGAGGCTGCTGAAAAAGCTGTAAAAGACCTCTTAGAGGCAAATTTTATTTCTGAAGCCCGGTATTCAACCTGGCTGTCAAATGTTGTACTTGTCAAAAAAATAATGGAAAGTGGCGAATGTGCGTTGATTATGCTAATCTTAATCGGGCTTACCCGAAGGATGCATTTCCTTTACCTAACATAGATATGTTGGTCGACAACTCGACCGGTTATAAAATACTGTCATTTATGGATGCCTATTTAGGCTATAACCAAATTCCAATGGCAATAAGCGACAAGCATTGCACCGTTTTCATGACCAACTCGGGCAACTATTACTACAACGTAATTCCCTTTGGCCTAAAAAATGCAGGAGCAACCTATCAACGGATGATGAACAAAGTATTCCACAACCAAATCAGGGATATGCTCGAGGTATACATGGACGACATGATCGTCAAATCCCAAGCAGACACCGACCATGCCGCTCACCTCAGGGATGTCTTTGCTCAAGCAAGGCAATGCAAAATGAGATTTTACCCCGAGAAATGTATGTTCAGGGTCAAGGCGGGGAAATTCCCCGACTTCTACCTGATAGAATGAGGAATTGAAGCCAACCCCGACAAATTTCGGACTTTCTCTGACCTCCCCACGCCTACATCAAAGAAATCCATACAAGTTCTGAACGGCATGCTCACCTCGTTATCCCGCTTTGTTGCAAGATCCGCTCAGCACGCCCTCCCCTTATTCAAGCTCCTCCGCAAGGAAGCAGCCTTCGAATGGACCGAGGAATGCAAGCAGGCGCTGCTCCATCTCAAACAAAGTCTATCCCAACAGCCAGTGTTATCACGACCCATCGACGGGGAACCTTTGTTCCTGTACCTGGTCGTCTCGGCTGAAGCCATCAGCGCAGCCCTCATTCGCGAGACGCCCGACGGACAAA